CACGTGTGTGTCGCTGCGGCACCTCCAACCACTGCGCCACACGCACCCTTCTTTTTCAACAACCCTCAGTATTTTCAGATAAATTAAGCGCTTCAAAACTTGGAATACCAATAGAACAGACAATGTTTTATCACCCAAAGGCTGCAGACTTTAAGAATTAATACCCACTTCACATAATTAGTTGTGACATTAATAATTTATATATTTCACTAATTGATAACTGCAAATTATTGATCTAGATAGTATGAAAAAGTAGTGAGAGATCTATCCTCATCGGAAGTGCGCTAGTTGGAAAATAATGCGGTTTCACTTTCCTCGACAATTTAAGCTAATCGAGAATCGAACTATCCCCCATCGGAGCTGCTAGTACGACCGCATTACCTAGGGTCACCTGATGGTTCCAGTACTATTTCGTAAACCATAAAGAATAACAACGCTGCTACTAAAGTGAAATATACTAAAAGAAGAAAAATCTTAGGAAATTTTTTGCATCGAACTTTATGTCTTCACGATTTTTAAGTCTCAACCAATATCGCATCAATTATTCTAGATAAAATGGTCTTGTAAAGCTGGAAACATGCTATGTAATTCTTTAAGAAGAGCTAGTGAAAATAACGCTATATACGAATTTTAGGCTTCGAAAGACTAAATATTGCAAAGTTAGACTCCTCCTTGCTTACCTATGAGTTGGATCCCAGACGAAGGCTCGACACCCATCTGCCAAGCACACTTCGGCGCACTTTTCCTCTTGATCCTCGTCTCTGGATTCGGAAGTGGCTCGTAGAGTGTATCCGTGTCTGACGTCAAAGACGAAAGCCGACTCAGCGCAACGCTGTGGTACTCTGGAATGCAATCGTATTGCCCATCTAGAGAGAAAGAGAAAAATGAGTATTGAGAAGGTCTGATTAAAGGCATCAAAGTTCGAAGACTCGAGTCTTTCGAGCCTTCTAAAACTGAACGGTTACAGCATAGTTTTGCATACTGGGTCTCTACACAGGCATATATATATATATACATATATATATACAATGCCACTTATTTTTTAAAGTTTGAACGATTGCTTTTTTGAAGAGAGAAATTCCGACTTATATGTGCACGGTGAGCCATGAACAAGAGCAACGATACACGGCTTGTTGCATAAATTAGTCTAATCCGGCCTCATTCGCTTCTGTGGAAAATGGCAATGAAAAGATGCCTAGATACCACTGCTCTTTTCTGGTTATGCACATTCCTATTACATACAGAGATTGAAAAAGGACTGTAAAACAATAAATAGGTTCCTGCAAATAATGAAGACACAATATTTCAAAACCGACTTTCCTTTGGTCTTGGTATGACTAATCAATATGTACTCTTTGTTTGATATCTGGTATCCGTCGAAACTTTAGCTGTATGAGGACTAGATATCAACTTCGTGTAAGCTTATCAAAGAAGGATACATATTGAACATGCAGCTCATAAATGGTCAATACTAGTCGTATTAATTGTTGAAGAAAATTTAATTTAACTTAAAATAATTTCAATAATTTTTAAAATAATTCTAATATAGGACAAAATTAGATACGGTAGTGCAAAATGAAGTAACGATTGATTGACTTAAGCAGCACCCATACATTTCCTAGCCTTAAGGCATATACAAAGAGGCCCACTTTATGTGATTAGATAGCCATTTTCTCCATCGAGACTTGATGTAAACACCAAACTACTGCATAAAATGCCCTACTGCTCTGAAGTAATTACTCATATCCAACCATTAGGACTTCTGGCACGTCCACTAAATCTTATGATGTTCTTGGGAGTGCATACAAACCAGTTTGACCAGTTTAATAAGAACCACATTAGAAGGAAACAGGTGAGATAGTTTACTCTGTCTTGGTTGAATAAGCGCTAAGGTAAGAATATTTTGAAAAAAAATTGCAAGAGTAAAACTTACCGCAAGCATGTTTTCTGGAAGTAAATTATAGGCTGTTCAGTGGGAAGAATGGTCACATTATTCTGCAATCTTCTTTAATTGAATATAATACTTCACCAGGATTTTATGACCGCTAGAGCCCAATTATGGTCAGTTGTATGATAAAAACGCAATGTAACGAGAAAGGTACTGCGTACAAAATGGGCCCTATTTAGAGGTTGATGCAACCAGCAAACCTGAAATTTTCCACGAAAAATTCCCCGAAATTTTAAACCCCATTTTAAATATACTCCAGAGCGACACATTAGTACTAAAACAAAAACCCGTGTAAAAATATTATGACACCAACCGTTCCATTTGTAAATGAAAACATTTCGCATTCCGGTTTTTTCCCTGGTCGAAAATTGAAGCCGCTGCAAGCGAATGACTTCTCCGAAGACGGATCGATGTTGCGATGACAATAATTAACGCAACCCATCAAATCAACCTAAACTTGTGTTTGAAAACAAGGCTTTGTATGTATATTTATGTATATGTATATATAGGTATACATGAGGAGCAGGTGGCGCACTGGTAGTGATGTCGCTCACCACGAGCCCGATGATCGTTCATTCTAGGGCCGGACTTACTGAGCACCTCATTCCTCCAGTATTAGAGACACTGGTGTCAGACTTGTCTGGGAAAAGTTCGTGCTCTGAAGTTTAAGTGGGGAGCGTCCTAGCACGGTTATCACTATGCTCCAAGAAGAATCGCCTCCACCAGCATTGAACGACGTTCATAAGGAAAACAGCAATCCTTAATCAGCTGCCGGAGCCACAAGCAAGAAAGTCAAAGACGTTCGTGAATCATTAATGCAAGAAAACGAACTGAATGTGGGAACGGAGGAAGCGGTGGAATCCACATGGCAGATGTGAAAACGATGTACACAAGATGTATGCATATATATATATATATATATATGTATATAACATGCAGATGTACTATATTATATGTATTATATTATATGCTATATTGCATCCATTCATGTATATTTATTTTGTACCACTTCATGGGTACGTTTCGAGCAGTGGTTAGAGGCGCCCTGCAATATACACCACATTGATCTTGCGCCCCAGGCTCACCAAGCCTTCAATCCTTCCAGACTCAGCAAATTTGCACCAGACGGAGGATAGAAACAGTGATTCCATACGTCGGTAGAGCAAAGAGCTGTTGTAGAGGCCAGATATGCATTCATTCTCTTCCAACGATGCTCAGTGAAGTCCAGTGTGTGGTGCACCACTCAGAGATTGACCAGCGTAGACAGCGTTATCGTTTCCATTCTTAAACCGTTCCTTTTCATTTTTCCATTTTATTCTCTTTTTAAAATACGCGTGTATATATATATATATACATACATACATGTGACATTCTGCATCGATTCGACACATAGGTTTACTATTAACCGATGGAATAGCAGATTTGCCTCTCAGGTTCGACGGCCCTTCGCCGATGGTGCATTCCTCTATAATGCTGAGTTTGAACCACGCCACTGTGCAGTGACGCATCTCTGACAAACAACAAGACTTTTCATTTCTACAGCTAAGGAATGCATGAATTTTCGAAATACATCCGTTTCTTCCTTTTTAAGTCATGTTTTTTATCATAGTCATCCGTTTTGTACAATTATGGATAAGGAAGAGTTCATAGTTACGACGGATTGAAATAGACACTCACAAAACTTCAAAATAGTGCATACTTTAGTAACTGTAGTGAAACCTGTTCTCATCAATCCTTGTTTCCTAAGAAAAGCGATCTTGTAAGGGTCGAAACATTCACTTTGTGGTGCAACAACCATATCGGAGCAAACGATGACACCTGTAGAAAAAGCAGAAGGCTTAGGAGAACTTTTTTCACATTGGATAACTCTATCAGATGTAATTTCCTACAAGTATGACATTATGGGGGGGGGCAGTGGTCGGAGGCGCCCTGCAGCACATACGTGGAATCGATCCCCGCGCCCATGGCCCACTAAGTCCCCTATTCCTTTGGGGTCGGCAAATTGGTACCAGACTTGTATGAGAGGATAACAGCACTGGTTCAATATATCGGTAGGCCACTGCGAGTCATTGTAAAGGCCACATATGCATCCAGTCGCCTCCAAACGATGCTCGATGAAGTCGAATGCATGGCCCATGCCTCAGAGATTGATCAACGCCGAGAGCTTTCTTTTATGACATTATAAAATCTAAATAACATAGGTCGGTGTTTTGAGAAGTGATGTCTACTAAACAAGAAGCACGTTACGAGGAGCTAGGTATATTTAAAGTGTATAAGGAATAGTTGGTTGTGACGTCAAATGATTCAGCAATGAAACTGATGTGAACGCTGTAAGAATCTTCCCACACCCTTTTCACAAAACAATAAAGTTCAAATAACTGTAGTTATTAAAAATTACTACCGCAACTTTTCATTAGAGATCATCATTATTCACAATTAACTTACGTTAACGTTCTCCTGAAAAGTAGAGATTGAGAACAAAAGGAAAGTAGGAGTGCATTACAACTTAGGTAAGAAGTAAGACCACACACGTCCACCCTCTTACTTCGCGCTCTTCTCAGTCTAATGTGTCTAATGTCACATTTTTAAGCTATCTTTCTTTATAAATCTGCGGATGGCAAGACATCCATCTATGCTAGACGCTCTACATTCTAAAAACGATGTGGAATCATTAAAGGAACGTACCAGAGGCGGTGATTAATAGAAGCACCAGCATTACGATGGTGTTCTATTCGAAGAGACACTATGGCGTTTTCGCCGACAGTTGACGAGTGGTACGATTAAGCGATTTTATGCCCAACTAGTGGCTATTCATAATGATTTGCGATGGTCACTTGACGCTTGGTGTCAATGACTGGCCAATCCAGAAACGTAAGCGAGCCGGTCGAAAAACCCTGTGATACACGCGAACTGTGCTATACTCTCACAAACCAGCGTTGAGACCACAACAGCGTATGCCACAAACAAAGCTTTCCTTCTTAGAAGGACCTTGTACGTGTTTCTTTTGCACTGAAACAACAAGAAATATCTTTAACCAATTATTTATTGTATGCTAGTTTAGTCTTAGCGTGAGGCACTTCGCAGATCCACCAGATTTAATGAATTCGGACATCGGAACGAAGTGTGTTTTGAAGCCGTATTGCTCAAGCATCTGAAACGGAAATGATCCTATTGATTAGTCCAAATTACCTTAAACACCCCTTTCACTTCATTTTATCAAATTTTTTGATAGTTTCGAGGATTATTTCTTTGGGAAAAATCTAGATTCCAATCTACGTTGGAATAAATGGGACAATCGTCGTTTTCCTGTTCAGCAATCGCGAGGTTGTCCTACAGCATACATTTACTTCCATAGAAAAACACAATACAATACAGCGGTAGCTAACGTTTTGGCACTATCGCCTTCTTCTGAGTCTGAAGGGGTATACTGATCAAACGCTTCAATAAAACTTACAAAAAGACGAAAAGCTCTATGGCAATTACATGATCAACAGCTTCTCGAAGCACTCACCGCCTTTTACATGACTTCCAATGAGGAAGATTAGAACAGCTGATTATAGTCGCGTATGGTTGATGACTGCACCACCCACAGAAATTGATGCGAAGATACGGGGCCAGGTCGCGTGTGACCTCTGGGTATTCATCCCTGCTATTCATTGTAGGGTTTTTGGTATTTATCCAAAAAGCCTCAAGAAGTTTTTGTGCGTTGGTGTTTTAGTCTCCTGTGCGAGGATATTGACTTTAACTTCAAAAACCTTTTTTTTGCAAGTGTTACTGAAGCGCTTGGCCTAGTAGATTGTATATCAATATACCCTTCCAGGCTCTGAAGAAGGCGATACTGCCGAAACGTCAGCTAGTGTTGTATTGTATTGTATTGTGTTTTTCTATGGAAGTATGTATGCTGTTTAACAACCTCGCGATTGCTGAACAAGAAAACAACGCATTCATATTCCTATACCAAGGTTAATAGAAAGTCGGTCCTGGGAACTGTTACAAAATGGGACAATTTTATTGTTCGTCGAAGAAACGTAGATAAATAATTCATCTACAAAACAACATTCTTATGGAAGGTGAAAGGCATTTACCCTAGCTACCCTGTCACTTCCTTCATTCATAATGACGTTATTACCGACGACTACAGCGTTACATGCAAAATTCTCCGCCTCCCACTCCTGTACCTGAAAAAAATTCCACGGAAATGAACGCTACTTGAAAGTGACGCCAGTGATGAAACTATAACCTGCAAAACACTTAATGTTTTCCGAAAATTAGGTTAAGACTAGTTTCCCGTCCCTGGTAATTCATCGGAGCCGCTGCTTGACAAATACAAGTAAGATGAATGACAAAAAAACTAGTTTCAAGTTACGCACCGGTATAAGCTCCGTGAAATTGGCCAAATTGTGTTGACCGATTAGGTCAAAAGCTGGTGGGTACCACAAAGCCAACTTGTCGTCGAGAGGGCAAAAACACGTGTCCAGGTGATAAAATCTAGAGACAAGTAAACTTCCACATGTTAGAATTTAGACAGCCAAACCATCTAGACGACTGGATCGCACCGATTATCCACCAATTTCACAACGATTACCAAGAAATGGTCGTCACTCATGCACAGTGTCTTGCGAATGTGCATGATAGCACCGATATCCGACCTCGGCCCGACTCCGCAGATGAGCACCTTGCCATTCCTGCACCACAACGCATCTCCGGCCCCTGAACCGCCATGTTAGCTCAAATTTTAGGATAAAAACGTCATTCTTCGATACGTGCTCTAGGTGTCCTATGTAAGTGTTCTGCAACGATGGAACAGAAGAAATGACTATCATTTTAATGATATCGTATTCCGTAGAGTCGTGTTCTGACCGCTAATAGTTAGCATTTAACTGTGGAAAGCTCGCTATCGTACTACGACAGAAGTGGGACATTAGGTGATCTAATAAGCTTCAAATAACTAAAGTTTGAAATCAAGGATTGAAAGTAGAGCGTTCGATAAAAACCTCGAGAAAGTTTAGTGCAAAAATTCCCAATTTCGTAACAACCGCAATGAAGCGATGTTGACGTTGAAATATATTATAGAGTGCTCCTGGAACTTTTAGTCTAATGATCACTGGGAGGTCCAACCGCGAAACCAAGGAACTCCATTGAGTCCTCGAAACAACTAATTATTTGGCAATTACTAGGAGACCATTTGAAAGCTGAAAAGATTTGAATTCCATTCTTTATCACTGCCATGAATACTACCCACCGCAATTTATCAGATTTGGAAACTGAATGCGATTCTTTTTTGAACGACTTACCCTCGTGTGGAACCCTTGAATTAAAGTAAGTATAGTATCCATTGTTTCGAAACCATTGTTCATTAATTTTTGACTCTGGCTTCCGTTGTGGATGAAGAAAATTCGCTATATACACTTGTTTGCCTCTGATGATTGCAGAATTCGCGGTGAATACGAGGTCTGGCAAGTCTTTCGCAGCCTGTTTAAAGAGTATACACTAAGTTTCCATCTTCTTCTGCCATAAAACGGATTACAGTGCTGTTGTTTGTAAAGGGTACAACAATGACCCTTCACAAAGAGTTCCAAGAAAAAGACAAGGTTGTTCATCAGCAGAACAAACGTCACCATCTCCCTTACTTCTCGGAATATCAATCAACCCTTGAATTAGTCGGGCATTGGTGACGTTTCCACTAGTCGCAACATGCATTAAAGCTGCTCCGAAAGATCATCACGCTTACCATATAAAACCCCTCATCTTTTTTGCTTTTGGCAAGCGGCTATCTATGCATGATTGGAAAGCTTCGAATATTATGGAATGCTGCGCATAGTTACGTCAAGCTTATTGGACTTCTTTAGGATTCACCTACGACACATTTATAAAAACAACCTCAAGGAGAGAAAGCAATTCTTCCTTTATTTCAACCATTTGATTGCTGGCATCTGGTCGAAACTTCTCGAACGATACGATGTGCACTTACAACAAAGATGATCGTATTGATAAAATACGACTATGCGTATGAATAGGGAAAGACTTGGGCTAGCACTCCAACCACCCCAGGGATGCTGCGCCCTAATCATAGAGCGTTTGAATTTGTCTTCTGAAATACACTTGGCTTCCGCAACATAAGACCAGAACTAGAAGGTATAATAATCGAAATCAATCTCATCTTCGAGACCTAAGGGAATACACATGTAAAGTGAAATATAGATTAGGCCGGTCATGTAGTGAGAAGAACAGACGACAGACAGACGAAAAACTGCAGAGTGGATACTACGAGGTAACTGAAACCAAGAAGCTGTAGTTGTTTTACAGATCACGGTGTGGGACTCACATCTACCACCGCGACCAAATCAAACCACGATGGGTGAGGACTGGGAGGCAAAGAAAGGAATGGAAAGATGTGCTGGGGTCCGCACAACTGGTGCAGACTGGCCGCTCAAGTATCCAAATGCCCAAATATGCATGGAGGGCATAAGTCAGCTCAGTGCAATATGAACAGAGTGCCCGTCTTTTGAACGCAGCCATATATTCAGACAAAGCATGGTCACTTTTGATCTGGCTATGAACACCCTATGCAACATTGCCATTAACCAGTGAGAAATCTTTGTGAAACAAGAGTCTTCCAAGATTACATCTTCTGTAAAATAAAAGTGTAAAATGCAACGGCGACGGATCAAGATTGAGCAAATCTATTAATTTCCTCCTCTTACATTAGCCTTGTTGCGGTTCAGGACATGGTAACTTACTTGATACTTGATACTTAAATGGCTCGTAATCACTGGTTGTGAGGACCCCAGAATAACCTCCATTTTTCGGAGATTTGCTGGTTAAGCCATTATGGTACCCTGGCGTCTTGAGGTCAGCCTGGCCAAAGTCTGCCCCAGGTCTTCACCACCACAGATATTCGCGGCCTATGTGGATCAAGGGAAGATATACCGCTGGTGGATACTGGTATTGGTTTACTCTTAGCTAGGCTTCTTGATGGAAATGCCGGGCTTCTTCTTAGCTTGGGAGACTTGCCAGGAGATAAAAAACCCCACTGTGCGTCGCAGTCTGACACCCAAGAACACCTCCCAGCCACGATGAGGCGGTACACCGTTGGAAGGGGAGATGATAACTACGTATTGCGACTATGCTGCTTTAGAAATTTGCTCCTGAGATGATATTTACAGAACTTTCAGGAGACAGGAGAATTTCTAGGGACGTGAAACATCTTTTGCAGACACCATAGGACATAAAGAGAAGCACGGCCATGTCATGTAGTTATCATATCAAAAAGTGGATAATGAGGTGGTTTTGTCTAAACTGAGTCTCATATCCACAATGCATTTCAACTTTTCCTTTCAGTTAATGCTGAAATTCGATGGGAACGCTGCGGCCCGTTGAAATATGGAGCATACAGGAATCAACAGATGAGACTATTCACGGCCTATCGCGTGGGAGCTGTAATATCAAATAGATATGCGCTTTTGAGGTCGGCTCTTCCAAATTCAACGTGGCTTGGTACCTCATGTCGTTTTGATGTGAACCCAAGAACTACAGCTTTCATATTTCTAATTTCCTCTCTTTATTTGCTCACATTATTTCAGACCGATATTTAACCTAACAACATAAAATTGTAAATTCATAAATACCTCTGTTGGCTCCATGATCTCAACTGTCCCTCCACAGTCTTCGATCGTTTCTTTCAATTTGTTCCATTGTTCCATTGCTTTCTTCGTATCAACCGCATATTCCAATCGCATCCATGGATTTATTGAATAATTAACCGAAAAAAGAGCACTTCATCACATTTGTCAAAGTTAGCTTCTATTGCTCCAAAATCGCCATTACATCACTTTCCTAAAATTTTATAGTGGAATCAATAAAGTAACTCCAGAAATATTTTTCCAATATTCTCTCGAACTATGGTTTATTTCAATTCTCACAAGCTACACTTTCATATTGGTGCTGATTTTTTCGATTTTGACTAAACTAATTAAAGGGCACTTCAATTCGATGGATTTATAGAAGAGATTGTATTCCACGAGTCAATTCGGCCGAAAGCCAGCGACCAAGTGACAGGAACCGTGAGTATACCCAGACCCCACGTTCAGAGCAAACCAAGTTATACGTGGGTATCAAAAAGCTAAAAACAGTAAAAAAAAAAAACGGGTAATTCTTCGTATGATCAATTACTTGATCAATGCCGAGGTTAATAGAAAGTCGGTCGTGGAAAAAAAACAGGGCTGATTCCGCTGACCCCGAACCGGAAGAGCTCCCAATTCGGCAGCGTTAGGTAGGACGAGTACGGAGAGGCTGCTAAAATCTCAGAGCCAATGGAAGCTGCCTGGATTTAAAAGAACTATGGTGACGATTT